TCTTATTCTCACCCACGTTAAGAAACACACGTAACATTTTGACCTAAAATACACGGGGTATTTAAAATACACACACAGGCTGAGCAGATGCTGGCCCTGTGCCAGAGCCAGGGTGGTGGTGCCTGGGTGTGCCGCTTATGTGTTCTGAAAGATTCCAAGGTAAGGACAGGAGCTGGGGCTGGGGGCACTTGGAGCGGTGGCTGTCGACCACCTCATGTGGGTGTTTGGGAGTTGTAACAGCTGGCCCATTTCAACCTGTGTGTTCTGGATGACTTTCAGTGTTGCAGAAGCAGAAGCTTCAGAAGGTGAAATTTACCCCACAACCCATGATGTGTGGTTAATTCTTTTTTCATCTGTTCTATTTGATTTTGTTTTATTCTACTTTATTTTTTTTTTTGAGACAAAGTCTCACAGTGTTGCTCGGACTGGATGCAATGGTGCAATCTTTGCTCACCGTAGCCTCTGCCTCCTGGGTTCAAGTGATTCTCCTGCCTCAGCCTCCCGAGTAGCTGGGATTACAGGTGTCCACCACCATGCCTGGTTATTTATTTATTTATTTGTATTTTTGTAGAGATGGGGTTTTACTATGTTGGCCAGGCTGGTCTGAAACTCCTGACCTCAGGAAATCTGCCCGCCTTGGCCTCCCAAAGTGCTAGGATTACAGGCATGAGCCATTGTGCCTGGCCTCATTCCACTTTATCCTTGGGCCAAGCACAGTGTCCCACACCTATAATCCCAGAACTTTGGGAAGCCAAGGCAAGAGAATTGCTTGAGCCCAGGAGTTCAAGACCAGCCTGGGAAACATACTGAGACCCCTGTTTCTACAGTAAAAAAGAAATTTGGGTGTGTACACACACACACACACACACACACACACACACACATTAGCCAAGGTGATGGCACATGTCTGTAGTACCAGCTACTTGGGAGGCTGAGGTGAAAGGATCGATTGAGCCTGGGAGGGCAAGGCTGCTGTGAGCCATAATCAGGCCTGTCTGTGGGCTGCTGTGCAGGGCACAGGTGTTGACTCTTCAAGAAGCCCCCCAACCCCAAGGCCCCTGGGGTATCCCAAGTCTCCTTTTTGCCTGGGGCTGGGGGTGTTGGTCCCTGGGGGCTGACACTTTCACCTGTCTGCTCTCTGTCACTGCAACACTGCTGGAAAGAAAGGAGGAGGATGGACACTGGGTGGCCGACCTGGGTGCCAAACTCTTTGTGCCAGGGCTTGGCAGGCCAAGGGGCCTGCTGCAGCAGCAGGGCCAGCTGTGGAACAACTTTCTGAGGATTCAGTACAGCCTCCTGGGTAAGGCACTGCATGTCTGGCTACAGGGCAGGTGGAGGTGGCAGGGCCTGCCCTGTTTTCTGTGGCTGTGGCTCTGCAAGCTAAGATATGCTGTCACCACAGGATTTTTCATTAGTCATTCTGTGGGCTCTGAGTAGGACTTAGTACCTGCTCATTTAAAAAAAAAAAAAGGTGTGTTTGTTGAGGAGACATTCATCCATCTCTTAAGACCTCCCAGTGGACAGGTTCTAATGGAGTGACAGGTGAAGCAGACCACAGGGCTGGGAGGACTTGGCTGAGGCCAGGTTAGGCTAGGCCCTCCTCCTCTTGGAGCCCTGGTGGAGGGATGCGTGGCAGAGGAGGGCAGGGGTCCCTTGATTGATCCTCACAGCTCAGGCAAAGTAGCCAGAGCACCAGTGCAGCACTGTCCAGAGGCTGCAGACAGAGAGCAGCTCAGATGGCACCTACAGGCTGGAGCTGGGCCACAAGCTCCACTGCACACAGGTCCCAGCCTTCAGCCACAAGGTGGGTGCCCAGGCCAGGTGGGATGTCCAGAGAGAGCACCAGAGTCTGGCAAGTGGTGATCTGAGTACCCTGAGCTCATCCCCAAAGAGATGAACTTGCTCCCAATAGCATAGCCATATAGGAATGGTTCCAGGGCTGGCACTTCAGCCTCAGTCTTATGTCTATTCATCCAGGGTTGCTTCAGCCCAGGAGGCAGAAGTTGTAATGAGTCAAGAATGTGCCACTGTACTCCAGCCTGGGCAACAGAGTGAGATATCATCTCTAAAATAAATAAAAAGTTAAAAAAAAAGGCCAGTCGCAGTGGCTCACGCTTGTAATTCCAGCACTTTGGGAGGCTGAGGCAGGCAGATCACTAGGTCAGGAGTTCAAGACCAGCCTGGCCAACATGCTGAAACCCTATCTCTACTAAAAATATAAAAATAGCCAGGTCTAGTTGTGGGTGTCTCTAATCCCAGCTTCTCCAGAGGCTGAGGCTGAGGCTGAGGCTGGAGAATCACTTGAATTGGAGGCGAGCCATGGGAAGCACTGGGACAAGAGCAGCAACAAGAGGCATCTCCGTGTAGCCAGATGTTCAAGAATGACTCAGAGGCCCACCCTGAGCAATCACTTCATGGAGGTAAGCCTGGTTACTGCAGCAGAGCTGTGCCCTGTGAGTCCAGCATAGACGGTGGGAGCTACGGAAACCCTCATGGTCCTCTGGCCATGGTTGTAAGGATGCAGGCAGCTGAAACTCAGCCTTGGTGACTTTCCCTTTTGTATTTCCAGCCCCACATCCCCAGGGGTAAGAAACCCTTGTCACAGTGCCAAGGACTGGAAGAAAGACTTGGGAAACACAGATTTCTAACTGTAAAAATGCGTTTTGGAAACAGCAGTTTGTTTTTAGTTTTTCCCAGAGTGGTTGTTCTTTTGCTGAGTTAGGAATGATGGTGTGCTCAGCAGCTGAGCAGGTAATAGTTCTTTTACAGCATGCATTTAACTTTGTACATGTTTTTTTTTTTTTTTTCCCACATCCAGTCCTGCAAATGGCGGTGGTTTATGTTTCTTGAGATGGAGTCTCACTGTGTCACCAGACTTAAGTGCAGTGGCAAGATCTCAGCTCACTGCAACCTCTGCCTCCCATATTCAAGCGATTCTCCTGCCTCAGCCTCCCAAGTAGCTGGGACTACAGGCATGCACCACAATGCCTGGCTAATTTTTGTATTTTTAGTAGAGATAGAATTTCACCATCTTGGCCAGGATGGTCTTGATCTCTTGACCTTGTGATCTGCCCACCTCAGCCTCCCAAAGTGCTGGGATTATAAGTGTGAGCCACCATGCCTGACCCAACCTTCTTTTTTACATGGGCTTCTGTCTTATTCTTACAAGGTCTCCCAGCTAATATCCCTTATGCCTCCTGCCTCAGTTTCTTCAGTCTTTTACCTGCTTTCTTTTGAGTGTACAGCCTTGTTTCTGTGAAGCTCACTGCTACAGGGTCTCTTTCTGGTTCCACGATGAGCTTTTTGTGGCCGTGTGGTCATTAAACACTCACAGTGGCTGCCTCGACTGCCCTCCTGGCAGGACTAGAAACTTCTTACCTCTCCACCATCCGGGGCTCAGACCTTGCCCAATGCCATGGTGGGCATCCCTCTGACTGGCTGTTGAATGTCACCTCCATAGCCTCTCTGCTGTGCCAGAGTCCCATGGCCACCCACAGGGCAGTAAATTTGAAAGAGTGCTCCAGGACTCTGCACACTGTGCTGTTCGCAGCTGTCATTGACTACAGGAGAGAAGGCAGGAGTGTTGGCACAGGGAAGGGGAATGGGACGGAGTCTAGGGTGAACCAGGACAAGTACCTAGTGTCCTCTCCCAGTCCCTGCACCTTCACATGGGACGCACTTCGCTGTCCCAGCACTATGTCACCCAGGGTGTTTGGTGGGGCTGCCTGATTTGCAGGTGCTGCTTGGCTCAGAGCACACTGTCAGACTTTTAGGAGGCAAGCAGGGGTCTGGCATAAACCACATTTTTACAAACAGTTCAGTTGTAGAGTGCCTCGTATCACTTCTAGGATTGGTGGGAACCCTCCCCCCGTCCAAGTTCCCAGACAAGCTATGAGCAGGCCATGCAGAGGCAGCTCAGGTCTGCTGTGACAACTCACCCACAATCTCCAGTGTCTGCTGCTCTATTTCTTTTCCCCCACTCCTCCCACCATCTTAATCCCAGGAAGAAGCCCTATCTCCTTGAGGCCTGGGTCGGGCCTCTGAGCTGCCCAGAGGCCTCATGGTGGGTGTTGGCTGCCAGTTGCAGTGCCTGTGGCCATACTGAAGGACTCCTACCTGGAAGTGATGCTGCAACCCCTGGAGGAGGTGTGACAGGAGCGGATAGAGGAGGCCATTTGGTGGCTACAGGCCTGGGTGCCCAGCCTGCCAGGCAACCAGGGTCCCAGGCCCATCAGGGTGACCCTGAGGGCCGTGAAAGGCACCCTGGAGCTGGTGAGTGAGAGCAAGGATGGGGCGTGGCTGGCAGTTGAGGATGACTGAGACAGCTCTCACTGTTCCCATTCTTTCCAGGTGGCTCACCAGATGCTGTCCTGGGCTGAGGCCACATTCTCACAGGCACTGAAGGGGCTCTGCAAACCCCTGCTGGACATGTATGGCCTCACAGCCAGGTAACACTGGGTTGGGAGTGTCGCATCCAGTGTTTCTGCCATGTATCAAGTGCAATGCTGAATGCTTCGACATGCTCTGACTCACTGACTACTTTGACCACCCTACACAGAGGCTTCTTCACTCCCCATTTCACAAGAGAGGAAGCTGGGGTTTCTTCCTCACTCTACAGAGACCTTGTGAGCACAGTCCCAGTGCAGGCAGGATTTTAGGAGCTGCTGTGGAGAAGTGCAGTGGGCAAGGCTGACCCCTGCCTTCAGGAAGCTCAGTTTTACTCAGAGACAGACACAAAGCCCAAGAAATCATCTACAGCAGAGTGTGCATAGCTCCCTGCAGAGAGCCTGAGACTCACCTCTTAAGCAGGCCATTCTGCTCTGTCACATTTCCTTGCTTTTGTTTTGTAATCATCTTTTTTTTTTGAGATGAAGTCTTGCTCTGTTTCAGTGGTGTGATCTCAGCTCATTGCAACCTCTGCCTCCTATGTTCAAGTGATTCTCCTGCCTCAACCCCCCAAGTTGCTGGGACTACAGGTGTGTGCACTACTGCTAATTTTTTGCATTTTTAGTAAAGTCAGGGTTTTGCCACTCCAGGCTGGTCTCAAACTCCTGATCTTCAGTGATGCAACCCCTTTGGCCTTCCAAAGTGTTGGGATTACAGGCTTGAGCCACCACTCCCGGCCTGTTATGTAATCTTTTAAACACATAAAAGCCCTTCTTTCTCGCAGGCTGTGCAGAAGCCGGCTGCGGGCTGGGTGTGGCTCATTGCTCATCATTTACCACCGCCGAGCCATACCTTAGGTGGCAAATGCTTGAGATGGAACTTTGGCGGGATGGTGAGCTGGGGATTCTATGGTGTGGCCATGGCCAGCTTTGAGGAGAAGGTACAGTTCAAGCAAGAGCCATGGGGCCAGTGTGGAGAGAGCTCCAGGTGGGGGCTCCACTGCACAGAGGCCTGGGAGAGGGATGTGCCTGACCTGTTTGTTTTGGAGATGGAGTCTCATTCTCTTTCACCCAGGCTAGAGGGCTGTGGTGTGATCTCAGCTCACTGCAACCTCTCTCAAATTCAAGTGATTCTCCTGCCTCAGCCTGCCAAGTAGCTGGGATTACAAGCATTCACCACCATACCCAGCTAATTTTTGTATGTTTAGTAGAGACGGGGTTTCACTATATTAGCCAGGCTGGTCTCAGAATCCTGGGCTCCAGAGACTTGGTGCTGGGATTACAGGCATGAGCCACCTTGCCTGGCCTGTTTGAATAGCAAGGTGGTGGGGCTGATGTGAACTGGGAGGTTCCAAGGCTAGGAGATGAGGGGAGGACTCTGGCTTCTGCTCTGACCTAGGAAGGATGTGATCACCCTTTCACTTCAAAAGGCCCCTTTGGTCCCTGTGTTGAGAACACGGAGGTGATGATAGAAATGGGGAACTTAGTCTAGAGCAGGGGCTTGGGGACCAAATATCCTTTTTTCTCACAGCAATGAGGCCCACCAGGAACTGGGCTACAGGCAAGGGGTCTGCCCCTTCTCCCATGCTGATGGCCTTGCAGAACATCTGGACTCTGGCTCTGCCTCTTCCTGGGATTCCTCTGCATTGGCTCTGTGTGCCTCCGTTTCCCCAGCTGTAGAATAGGGACTAGACCCACATCATGGGGAAAAGGCTCCACATAATACAAGTTCCTGCTCCTTCCACCTTGCGGTCAGAATGTAGGCTGAGGAAGGGAAAAGCTCCCAGGGCGAGATTTTAGCTTGGTTGAATCACCTGCCTGGTTATTCGCCTACCTGGTGAGTGGGATCTCGTGGGGGTGTCAAAAAATGGATTTAACTGGCAGTGAGGGTGTTGAAGCTGCTTCCTGTCCCCAGCTGCTGGGCCTCTGGGCTCCCTAAAAGGTAAGTGAGTCCACCTGCTTATCCCCCTCACTGGCCCATCAACAACAGAGTGTGCAATGTTTCTTTTCCCACTCCACTTCCACATGAGCCTAGATCTCCCTGATCATTCAGATCTCACAGGCTTGACTGTACTCTACATATTGAGAAAGTTCCAGTCCTCCCCTCAACTGTAGAAATTTCCTAGACCTGTTGGTCAAGCACACTGGCTTATGCCTGTAATCTCAGCACTTTGGGAAGACATTGAGGTCGGGAGTTCGAGAACAGCCTGGCCAACATGGTGAAACCCTGACTCAAAAATTTAAAAATCAGCCAGGCATGGGAGTGGGTGCATGTAGTTTCAGCTACTCTGGAGGCTGAGAAAAAAGAAGCACTTAAACCCAGGAGGCAGAGGTAGCAGGGAGTCGAGATTGTACCACTATACCTGAGCTTGGGAAACAGACTGAAATTCTGTCTCAAAAAAACAAAACAGTTTCCTATACCTTCCAGCTCCTATCCTTGACATCTACACACACAGGCCCCATGCTGCCCAAGACCCAGGGGGCAGATCAGAAATGACATAAGACATCTGTGTCATCAAAATAGGGCAGCTTGTTTCTGTCCTGGCATCACCCCCCACCTCCACTGTCATGCCAGTCTCTGTGCTCCTCCACCTCATTATGGGATTTTCTAGAACAAGGACAGCCCTCCCTGTGAGGCACCTCAATACTCTCCATAACAGAGCTCTTCCTGCAGAACTGTGAGCTCCCCCGCTGAAGCCAAAGGAAGCACGGCTCAGCCAGGCACAGCGGCTTGTCCTGTGCATTCCCTCTAGGAACTACTCAATGGTGATGACGCTGCTGCTGCCTCTGCTGCCTGGGGGTGTTGTGGCCTGGGTGACTGGCTACCTGATGGAGAAGCTGCTGTGGCCACTCCTACAGCTGTCCAGGGCCAACATGCTGGCCGAGTTCTACTGGCTCAGATGCCGCCTGCTGCAGGGTCTCTGGGAGTATGAGTCCTGCCCCGGGCTGTGCCACCCTCCTCTCTGGGAGCCCCCTGCCCCGTGGGCACAGCAGCAGGGCCATGCAGTGGCAGGTGCTGTGGTGGCACAGGGAAGCCTGCAGAGGCTTGTGGCATCACAGTGCCAGGCCCAGAGCTTATGGGACTTCCCAAGGTTTTATGAGACTAGGGCTGAGGCTGCACATCCTGCTTTTCCCAAGATTATAAGTCCTGGCCCAGCAGTGCAGTTAAGGGCGGTGCTGGGATGACCATTTCTGGGCTCCTGAGGAGGTTGCCTGTGGCTCAGGTGAGTCTGCTAACAATTGTGGACTCATCTTCCTCAAATGTGAAATGCAGGTAACCACATGGCTCACTCACATGGGTAAGGGACATGTACAGTTCTTAATGCACGAGGGACCCCTCATGTTTCTGGGGGAGCCACCATACCCAGGCTTGGCAAGGAGTGGTTTATCTGTGTGAGACTCACATGGAGGCCTACGGCTCCCTAGAAGCATGGGTGTAGTCATGTCTAAGCAGAACGCTGATCTTGTAAAAAAAAAAAACAGCCTGGTCTTGAAGTTCTGTGTGTGTGACCATGGGCTTCTCTGTGCTCCTCAGTTCTGATAGCTGACCACTGGGCTGGTAGTGCCTCCCTTGGGATGCTGGCCCTGGCCAACAGGTATCTGGCTGTGCAGGGTGGATGGTGCTTTCCTGCCATGAGCACAAGCACCCCCAAGGCACAGCTCAGGGGCCACACTGGCTGGACTGGTCAGACCTTTTCCTTCACAGGCCATCTCTTCCCTACCCTGAACAGGACAGGTCTGCAGGACACTGCTGTCATGTTTGAGGGAGCCATTGGCCATCCACTTAAAGGGTCAATTTTTCCCCCGCAGTAGCTTCCTTGAGATTAAATAAATGACTTGTATGTTTTTTTATTGTTTTTTGTTTTTTTTTGAGACTAGGTCTCACTCTGTTGTCATGGTTGGAGTGCAGTGGTGCGCTTTCGGTTCCCTGCACCCTTGACCTCCTGGGTTCAAGTGATCCTCCTGCCTCAGCCCCACAAACTGCTGGGATGGCTTAGCACCACTGTGCCCAGTTGATATGTGAATTTTAAGTGCACCATTCAGTGGCTTCTAGTTTATTCAGAGTTGTGCATGCCTCACCACAATTGATTTTAAAATGTTTTTATCATCCTAAAATGACACCCTGCAGCTACCAGTCTGCCTGCTGTGTCTATGGCTGTGCCTGCTCTGGACATCTGATGTAAACAGAAAGATGACTATGTGACCTCTGAGCCAGGCTTTGTTACTTAGCACAGCAGTTTTGTAGCAGGTCTGGGGACTCCATTCCTTGTTAGGGCTGAATTGGGCCATAGCCCTTCAGCTCATGTCATCCTGAAGCTGGTGGGGGATCACTGGGCCTCTGGCTGCTGCACCATGGGAGGGGGACTCCTGGCCTCAGAGCAGGCTAAGCCTGGGCTGTAGGCATTGTACTCCCACTTCAGTGGGTGGAGCTGGCTCTACTCACACTGCCTTTGGTGCTGCTTCTCCCCAGACCATGCCCTGGTGGCTGGGGCCCAGCACGTGGTGACTTTTGATGGCCTGGTGTGGGACTTCAGCAACCAGTGCAGCAGCATCCTCCTGGCCCAAGACTTCACTCACAACACATTCTCACTGATGCTGAGTTGGACAGGCTTGGGGCTCATGGCCTTGACCGTGAAGCTGAACCATGTGACCCTCCACCTTCTACTCCAGCCTGCAGGTGAGGAGGAGAGGCCTGAGCTTCCCCTGGAACCTGTGCCTGTGGCAGGTTGCCTGGGGGATGGCACTTTCAAGCTTGTCCCCTGACTGTGGGTCAGCCCTTCTGCTCACCTTTTCTGGTCCACAGGCCTTCAGGCTGTACAATTCCTCCCTGCCAGGGGATAGCTGTCCAGACCTCCAGCTGCCTTTTGCCACGAAAAGGAGGGATGTCCCCAGGATTAAGCTAACCAGTGAGGACAGGGTCTCCATCTCCTGTGACATGCCAACCGGCCTCTGCAGTCTGACTCTGCGCCTCTGGCACCATGGTGAGTCTGGGCCCCAGCGGAGTTAGTCCCACCACCAAGAGCCTCTTTGGGATGCACCATTCTCAACTTCCAGTGTGACAGTTCCCAAGCTGTAGGTGGCCACTGTGGTTGAGAGGATGGCACCGAGGCCCAGGGCTTTCTGCCCCCATTCCTTGTATATGTGGCTCCAAGTTTGAGTTGGCCTTTCTGTGGTCCCTCTGCCAAGGAACACAAAGGGCAGGCCTGGATTCTGGCCACTCAAGCTGAGGACGTGAAGAGGGGATGGGGGGGACATGTTGTCCTCAGTCCCTGTGCTTTCTCTCCCTCTTCTGATGAGGGTTTGGAGCCAGAGCTCTGGGAGTCTGGGGTGGAGGGATTCTACCAATCCTCCATGTGCCTGAGGCTCATCTCTCATACACATTCCCTGGGGGAAGATCACGGGCTCTCAGGACTGCCTCAGCTTCCCTCCTCCCCACAGGCATATCCGCTGGCCTTCTGGACACCAATGACAATGAAGCAGGCACTGATCTAATGTTGCTGGATGGCTTGAGTTTTGCGTCTGTCCCACCAGGTGGATGGTGACTGCAGGGCCACCGGGAAGCCTCAGCCGACCTGCCCAAGACAGAGCCCCTCTCGCCAGGCCTTCTTTCAGGACCCCCCGTCCAGCTTGGGGAACTGCTTCTGGGTGGTTAGTGTGAGCCTGGGTCCTGGGGCACAGCAAGCTTTTTCCCCAATCTACCCTGGGGAGTGTCATGGAGCAGAGAGTCCTAGGTTAGAGACGATGACTGGGTGTCCCTGATTTCAGGTGGAGCCTGCACCATTCCTTAGCCTGTGTGTGCAGGACCCCTGAGGCACCCAGGAGCTCCAGCCTTCCTGCATTCTGGCAGCCACCTACATCCACCTCTGTGCCTGCAGCTTCGTGTCCCTAGCCCTCCTCCATTAGTGCAATAAGCTGCCCCAGCCAGCTGGCACTCTGCCCCCTAGCTGGCATCTGCCTTCCAGCCATAGGGAAAACCCGTCTCTTTCTCTCGTCAGGGTGAACAAATAATTGTCATTCAAGGAGCTAAGAGTCAAAACAAATCATTTAAGGCCTGATACAGCTTGGATGTGTGTCCCCTCCAAATCTCACGTTTGTTAGAGGCTGTATATCCCTCATGGATGGCTTAGCATCCTGCGTTTGGTGAAGCGTGAGTTCTTGCTCTATTAGTTTACCTGAGAGCAGTTTGTTTATAAAGAGCCTGGCCCCTCCTCTCTCTCTTTGCACCCACTCCCATTTCTGCCATGATCATAAGCTTCCCAAGGCCTCACCAGAAGCCAAGCAGATGCTGGAGCTGTGCTTGTACAGCCTGTAGAACTGTGAGTTAATTATCTCTCTTATTTATGATCTACCCAGGCTGGAGTATAGTGGCACAATCTCACCTCACTGCAACTTCCACCTCCCAGGTTCAAGCAATACTCCTGCCTTAGCCTCCCAAAAATACAGGCAGGTATTTTTGTAGGATGGTGTTTTTCTATGTTGGCCAGGCTGGTCATGAATTCCAGGTGAACCTCTGGTGATCCACCTGCCTCGGCCTCCCAAAGTGCTGAATGACAGGCGTGAGCCACCACGCCCAGCCTTACTAGGGATTTGAATGTCCACTATTGTTTAGGGAAAATGCTCCACCCCTGTTTTCCCTCTGCTCTCATACTGCAAAAATCATCAACATAGAAGATGACTTCTGTGAGCAAACGTGTGGAGGTTTGTCCCCACTACCAGGGCAGACCTCTAATTCAGTTCTAACACTAGCTACCTTGAGATCTTTCAGCCTGTGCTGCATCCAAATGCCACAGCCAAAGCCCCACTAAAAGGGCATAGAGGTCAGTATCAACAAGAGGAGTGGACTTCCAAGAGCTACAGATATCAGAATTAGCGGCTGCTATTTATAGACATTTAAAACTTAATCAATTGGAAAATACGACAAAAGGAGGATGAAATGAGATGATCCAACATGTCTCAAAGAAATTCCAGGCTGGGTGTGGTGGCTCATTTCTGTAATCCCAGCACTTGGGAGGCCAAGATGAGTGAATCACCTAAGGTCAGGAGTTTGAGACCAATCTGGCCAACATGGTGAGAACCCATCTCTACTAAAAATACAAAAATCAGCCAGGAGTAGTGGTGTGTGCCTTTAATCCCAGCTACTCAGGAGGCTGAGGCAGGAGAAATGCTTCAACCCAGGAGGTGGAGGTGGCAGTGAGCCAAGATCATCTTGCCACTGCATTCCAGCCTGGTGACAGAGTGAGAGTCTGTCTCAACAACAAAAAAAAATTACAGAATGAAAACAGACAGTACCCTGAACTCTTTAGAGTCAGGAGGCACAATCCCCAATACAATAAATACATTTGTACCTAGACCCATCCAAACACAATTGCAGAAAAGACAAAGAAAAGGTCCTAAAAGCTACTGAGGATAATGGAAAGAAGGAAGAACATGTTGACAACTGCTTTCCAACCAGCAGCAACAGAAGACATGGAGTAAGAGAAAGTAAGCATGAGATTAGAGATGATCCCCAGCTCAACTATTACTGAATGAAATAACCTTTCAGCACTGATCTGTCTAGAGATCTCTTTACCACAAACGGACACTTACTCAAGGGACACATCCACATGTTCATTTATGTACTGTCTGTGTCTGCTTTCCTGTTACAGGGGCAGAGTATCTGCGAGGGAGACCACATTCTTGCTCTGTGAAAGACTCAGGAGGATGAAAAGATAAGCTACAGATTGGGTGTTTAAAAACCACCTATCAGACCAAGGACTCATCTCTAGAATACATAAAGAACTCAGAGCTCACAAGTAGGCCACACTTGTATTCCTAGCGTTTTGTGAGGCTGAGGCGAGATGGCTTGAACCCGGGAGGTCAAGGCTGCAGTGAGCCATGACTACACTCCTGGCTGCGTGACAGAGTGAGAGCTTGTCTCACAAAACAAAACCTCCAAAGTAAAGAATGGGAAATAAACACATCAACAATGTTTGCACTCCCAGCCATAGAGAAACAAGATAGTGCTACACACCTGAGCTCCAGTGAGTTCCGGTACAAGTTGGTGAGTTGCAGGGACTCTGCGGCATAAAGCATTAGTTGAACATCCAAATGGCCAGGTTGTGATTTCAGCATGCACTGACGAATGCACCATAAAAAGCACTGTTCTAGTTCCAAAAAGGTTGTGGCTGCTGAGAATAAAGCTAGGCTTAGAGGCAGGAATCAAGGTCACGGTCTACTAGCCAGATCCTCTCGGGAAACAGCATTGGATTCATGAAGTGCCAAGACAGGAGGTGGTGTGGCTCCACGGGAAGGTTGGAGAATCTGGGAATCAAGCAGAAGCACTCATTGTTCTGACCATGTACATACAAAACTGTCAGCTACTACAGCCATCAACAGAACATCTGGGATGACAGGCATCTCAGAAGATTTATAGCCACAGGGTAACAATAAAGTATTATCTGCAGTTAAGGTCCTCTGTCTTCCTCTTAGGGTTTGTTTATTTATTGAGACAGAGTCTTGCTCTGTCGCCCAGGCTGAAGTGCAGTGGAGCAATCTTAGCTCACTGCAACCTTCTCCTCCCTGGTTCCAGTAATTCTCCTGCCTCAGCCTCCTGAGGAGCTGGGATTACAGGCATGTGCCACCACGCCCTGCTAATTTTTTTGTGTTTTTAGTGGAGACGGGGGTGCACCATGTTGGCCAGGATGGTCTCAAACATTAAACCTCATGATTTGTCTGCCTCGGCCTCCTACAGTGCTGGGATTACAGGTGTGAGCCACCGTGTCTGGCCGGGTCTATTTATTTTAAATCAAGGGCTAAATTCTTCCCCTCTCTTGAATACCAGTGAAGTATTTAAGAAAAGCAGTCACCAGTCACAGTTAACATTTGAAGGACAAATTCAAAGGTGATTGTAAGTTACAAAATAAAGGCATCTTATGAAATCTCATAAGAAAAAAGGAATATTAAGATACTTTTTATTATCTTTTTGAGATAGAATCTTGCTCTGTCCTCCAGGCTGGAGTACAGTGGTGCAGCCTCCCAAGTAGTTGGGATTACAGGCATCCACCACGATGTTTTTCCATTTTTAGTAGAGACGGGGTTTCACCATGTTGGCCAGGCTGGTCTCAAACTCCTGACTTCATGTGATCCTTCCACCTAGCACCTGACCAGAGAAATTAAGACATTCTCAGATTAACAAAAGCTGAGATAGTTCATTACATTGGTACCTCTCCTGCAAGAAATGCTAAAGGGAGTCCTTCAAGTCAAAACAAAAAGATGCTAGGTGGACATTTGAAGCCACACATAAAGACCTGTATTATTAGAATTTTGATTCACATCTCTGATTTTTATTATTTTATTGGATTTAAAAGAGATATGTAACCATAAACCTATGTTAAATGTGTAATTTATTTTAAAAAATTAGGCATGGTGGCATGCACTTGTAGTCTTAGCTATGGAGGATCACTTGAGTCCAGGGTCTTCAGGTTACAATGAGCTATGACAGTGACACTGCACTCCAGACTGGGTGACAGAGTGAGACCCTTTTTCTAAAATATAGATATACTTTGTAGCATCAAGAACACAGGATAAGGCAGAGCTGTCCAGGAGTAGAGTATTTGTATGTGATTGAACTTACTGGTTTAAAATCAATTGCTATAACTTCAGGATGTTTTATATAATTCTCATAGTAATTACAAAGAAAATATCTACAGAATGTACACACAAAAGAAAGTGAGAAGGCATTCTAAGTGTGTCACACCAAAAAATCAATTAACACAAAGGAAGGCAGAAAGAAGGAAATGAGAGAGAAAACAAACCAGTAAGCCATGCAGAAAACAATCCACAGAGTGGCACCGGGAGGCCCCATAAATGGTGTGCTGGAGTCCTCCCAGAGGAACTGCTCACCTTAGTCCCTGGCTGTGGGCCTCTTGGCACAGTCAACCACTAGGCTATATAGTTTCCTCAGATGATAATCTTTACAAATGCAAATTATTTCCACAATCTAAAGATAGTAAGAGACTTACACATAGGATGAAAGAAGATACTCCATGGAAATGGTAACCGAAAAAAGGAGGTGGAGCTAGATTAATCTCAGACTAAATAGACTTAAGGTCAAAAGCTGTTGTAAGAGATAATAACAGTCCATTCACCAAAAAGATGCAACAGTTATAAAGGTACATGCAACGCACCTCAGAGCTCCTAAATATATGATGCAAACACTGACAGAATGAAAACAGAAGCAGACGGTTCTATGAAAATTGTAGGAAATTTCAACACCTCACTTTTTTTTTTTTTCCATACAGAATTTTTGTTTCCCAGGCTGGAATGCAGCTGCAACCTCCTGAATTCAAGTGATTCCCGTGCCTCTGCCTCAGAGTAGCTGGGATTACAGGTGTATGCCACCATGCCCAGCTATTTTTCATAGAGAGGGATTTACCACATTGGCCAGGCTCATCTTGAACTCCTGACCTCAAGTGATCCACCCACCTTGGCCTCGCAAAGTGCTGGGATTACAGGCATGAGCCTCTGTGCCTGGCCCAATAACTGACTTTCAATAATGGAAACAACACCGAGACAGAAGATCAAGTAGGAAACAGAGAGCTTGAATGATACTATAGAGGAATTGGACCTACCAGACATACACAGATGAGTTCACCCAGCAGCAGAATACACATTCTTCAAAGTACATGTGGAATGTTCTATGGGAAAGATCATATATTAGGCCTGAAAGCAAGATTTAATACACTTTGAATGACTGAAATTATAATAGCAGAAGGAAAACTGGAATATTCACAAATCTATGGGAACTCAACAACACACTGCAAAACTATGGATCAAAGAAAAATAATAAGGAAAATTATAAAGTATTTTGAGACAAAATATATCAAATCTTATAGGATGCAGTAAAAGCAGTGCTATGAGGGAAATTTATAGCTGTACATGCTTACATTTAAAGAAAGCTGGCTGGAGGTGGTGGCTCAAATCTGTAATTCCAGCACTTTGGGAGGCCGAGACAGGCAGCTAACCTGATGTCAGGAGTTTAAGACCAGCCTGGCTAACATGGGGAAACCCCATCTCTACTAAAAACATAAAATTAGCCAGGTGTGGTGGCAAGCACCTGTAGTCTCAGCTACTTGGGAGGCTAAGGCAGGAGAATCATTTGAACCCATGAGGAGGAGGTTGCAGTGAGCCAAGATTGTACCACTACACTCCAGCCTGAAAGACACAGCTAGACTCCATTTTCCCCCACCCCAACAAAAAAATAAAGCAGCAGCAGCAGCCAGGCATAGTGACACTGTTCTATAATCCCACCTACTTGGAAGGCTGAGGCCAGGAGATTGCTTGAACCCAGGAGTTTGAGACTAACTCAGCAAGTGGCAAGATTCTCTCTCAAATAAAAGAAAAAGAAAAGGTGTCAAACCACAATCCTAGCTTTGTACCTTAAATTATTAGAAAGAGAAAACAGCCTAAACCCAAAGCTAGGAGAAAGAAAGAAATACTAAAGGTTAGAACAGAAATAAATGAAATAGAAGATGAATCAGTGACCAAAAACTTGACAAGAAAGTACAAGAACAGATGGCTTCATGGGTGACTTGTACCAAACAGTTACAGAATCAATACCAAACCTGCTCATCTTCTTCCAAAATACTGAGGAAAGAATACCTCCAAACTCATTCTGTGAGGCCAGCATTACTGATACCAAAGACAGACAAATCAGCAGAAGAAAACACACCACTATTCCTGATCAATACAGATGCAAAAGTGCTCAAGAAAATACTAATGAGAATTCAACAGCATCATAAAAGGATTATACATGATCAAGTAAGATGTATTCCTGAATTGCAAAGGTGGTTACCATACAAACATTGGGATAAGATACCACATTAACAGAATGAAGGAAAGAAAATACAATTTGTTTCAATTAGTACAAAGAAAGCATTTAATGAAGTTTGATATCCTTTCATTATTAAAAACATACTGACTAGAAATCGAAACAACCTCAATGTGTAATAAAGGTCATATGAACAACCTCCAGCTAGTATCATTCTCAATGATAAGAGACAAAGTTTTCCAAGATGAGTAATAAAACAATGATGCCTGCTTTCATAATACTGGAAATCCTAGCCAGAGCTATTTAGAAAGAAAGGAAAAAGACAAGGCATCAAAATTGGAAAGGAAGAAGTAAAATTTTCTTTGTTAACAAACGACATGATCTTCTTCGTAGAAAATCCTGAAGACTGCACAAAATAAACTGTTAGAACTAATAATTTGTCCAAGTTTCAGGATTATGAAATCAACATACAGAAGTCAGTTGCATTTCTACACACCAACAATCAACAATCCAAGAAGGAAATTAAGAAAACAGTTCCTGCTGGCTTGGTTGTGGATGCCTATAGTTTCAGCTACTTGGGAGGCTGAGGTAGGAGAGTTGCTTGAGCCTGGGAGGTCAATGCTGTCAGTTTTTATAATGATTATGCCTGTGAATAGCCAGTGTACTCCAGCCTGGGCAACATAGTGAGACACTACCTTAAAAAGAAAAGAAAAGAAAAGAAAAGAAAAAAGTCAGTTTACAATAGCATCAAAAAGAATAAAACAGGAATAAACTCAACCAGGAGGCAAAGACTCAGGCAGGATTTTGAGTTCCAGAGACCGGTTGTGTAATAAATATAAAGGCATCTCATATTTATGTATTAAAAAGCTTAGTTTCATTAAGATGTCAATACGACTCAAAGTGATCTACAGGTTTAGTTTACTTGCTCTCAAAATGTCAGTGACATTTTTCTTCAATTGTAGAAAAATCCATCCTTATAAATTGTTTAAAGTTTATATGCAATTTCAAGAGACCCCAGATGGCCAAAGCAATGAAAAAGTAACAAAGTTGGAAGTCTTTTACTTCTCAATTTCAAAATGTATTATTGAAAGGTACAGAGGGCTGGGCATGGTGGCTCAAGCCTGTAATCCCAGCACTCTCGGAAGCTGAGGTGGGCAGATCACGAGGTCAAGAGATCAAGACCATCCTGGCCAATATGATGAAACCTCATCTCTACTAAAAATACAAAAATTAGCCAAATGTGGTGGCACACACCTGTGGTCCAAGCTACTTGGGAGGCTGAGGCAGAAGAATCCCTTGAACCCAGGAGGCAGAGGTTGCAGTGAGCTGAGATTGTGCCACTGCACTCCAGCCTGGTGACAGAGCAAGACTCTGCCCGAGGAAAAGAAAAAAAAAGCTCCAGTGGTCAAAAGTGTGGTATGACAGTAAAGACATACAGAGAGACCAGTGGAATGGAATACAGAGTGCAGAAGGAAACTCTTACACATATGGTCAAATGAGTTCAATAAGGATGCCAAGGCTATTCAATCAGGGAAGGGACAGTCTTTCAACAAATGGTGTGGGGAAACTAGATATTCACAGGCAAAAGAATGAAGTTAAAGCCTTACCTTATATCATGTTAAAAAAAAAGAAAGAAAGAAAACCTCAATAATAAATCAAAGACCTAAGTGTAAGATCTGAAGCTATACAACTCATTTTTTTCAGACAGTCTCATTCTGACACTGAGGGTGGAGTGCAGTAGTGCGATCTCGGCTCACTGCAACCTCCGGCTCCCAGGTTCAAGCAATTCTCTTCCTCAGCCTCCCAAGTAGCTGGGATTACAGGAGCCCATCACTATGCCTAGCTAATTTTTGTATTTTTAGTAGAGACAGGGCATCTTGGTCAGGCTTGTCTTGAGCTCCTGACCTCATGATTCACCCACTTCGGCTCCCAATGTGCTGGGATATAGGCAGGAGCCACTGTTCCCAGCTGACAACTCTTAAAACATAGAAGGAGAGCTTCATTTGGCCATGATTTCTTAGATATGACACCAAAGGCCCAAACAACAAAAGGAAAAGTAGATAGATTGGATTGCATCGATGGATACTATTAACAGACTGAAAAGGCCACCTACGGAATGACAGATGTGCAAATTACACGTCAAAGAGTTCCCATCTAGAATAGATAAAGCACTCTCACAATGCAACAACAAAAACCCAACTAACACGGTTCAGAAATGTACAAAGGATGTGAATAGACAGTCCACCAAATAAGAGATGCAAATGGCCAATCAGCACATAAAAAGATGCTCATCATCACTATTAGGGAAACAAACCAAAACCACATGGAGAGGCTGGGCATGCTGCTCACGCCTGTAATCCCAGCACTCTAAAAGGACGAAGTGGGCGGATAACTTGAGGCCAGGAATTTGAGACCAGCCTGGCTGACATGGTAACACCATATCTCTACTAAAAATAGAAAAATTAGCTGGGTGTGGTGCCATGTGCCTGAAGTCCCAGACGCTCAGCAGGCTGAGGCAGGAGAATTGCTTGAACCTGGGAGGTGGAGATTGCAGTGAGCCAAGATTGCACCGCTGCACTGTAGCCTGGGTTATAGAGCGAGACTCCATCTCAAAAAAAGAAAAGAAGACCTACATGGAGAGGCCACCTCAGACTCATTAGGATGGCTGTAATTCATACAGAAAATAAAGTGTTAGCGAGGATGCTGAGCGGTTGGAAGCCATATGTACTCTTACTGGGAATTTTAAATGGAGCTGTAGCTATGGAAAACAGAGTTTAAACTTTTCATCGAAAAGTTAAAAACAGGCCAGGCGTGGTGGCACACACTTGTAATCCCAGCACTTTATGAGGCCGGGGCAGGTGAATCACTTGAGGCTAGGAGTTCAAGACAAGTCTGGCCAATGTGGTGAAATCCATCTCTACTAAAAACACAAAAACTAGCCATGCGTGATGGTGCAGGCCTGTAATCCCAGCTACTTGGAAGGCTGAGGGTTAAGAATCGCTTGAAACCAGGAGGCAGAGGTTGCAGTAAGCCAAGATTGCACCACTGCATTCCAGCCTGGGTGACAGAGCAAGACTCTGTCTCAAAACAAGGATTACCATATAATCCAGCATTTCCACTTCTGGGTGTGTACTCCCTACAATTCAAAGGGCCTCACACATTTTACACACCGATGTTCATAGCAGCATTGTTGAGAACAAATTCTGACATGTGTAAGAAATCATATTGTTTACTGAGAAATCCTATTGAGAGAGGCGGCAAGGGAAACCTAGTCGGCCTCCCAAAGCGGAAAACTGCCCCCAAAGCAGCAAACTGCTTAAAGCATTATAAAACAGTATCCAATATAATTAGGTCTCACACCAGATGAATTAGTTCTTGGAACACAGGATGTGTAACCCTTTCCTTTGTTCCCTTGTAAAGAGCACTTTCTAGTTTGTCTGTAACCTATAGTAAACATGCACTAGCTGCCTGGTTAGTTTACCTTTAACCAATGAAAGAAAACAGAGCATCCTCTTGTAAAACTTGTCACTGGAAAGTCAAGAATAAATACATAGGTTAGAGTCTGCTCTGGACTCTCAGCTGGAAATGCTGTGAGACCCCTGCTGCTCCACTCTGAACCCATCTTTTGCTATCTCTTTCTGTTTCTTAATTTCTTCAGTTCCGCATAAGTTGGGGTCTCCAAGGCTGAGCTGGTCTTGGCACAGCGGTATTCATAGAAGCTGAATAATAGCAGCAATCCAAGTGCCCACTGACGAATAAACGAATGTGGTCTCTCCATACAGTCAAATATTATTCAGCCTTAAAAAGGAAGGAAATTCCAACTCATGCTAACACATGGATGAAACTTTAGGACGTTATGCAAAGTGAAATAAGGCAGTCACAAAAAGAGAAATACTGTATGATTCCATTTATGGGAAGGACCTAGAGTAATCAGATTCACAGAGACAGAAAGTAGAGTGGTGGCGGCCAGGAGCTGGGAGAGCCAGTAATGGCTTATTTAATGGGGACACAGTTTCAGTTGGGTAGGATTTAGTGAGTTCCAGAGTTTGGCTGCACAAAAATATAATTGTACTTACACTGAGGTGGGTACTTTAAATGGTGGTTGTAAATTTTTTGTGTTTTACCACATTGAATATTTTTGACATTGGAAATGTATATTTATTAAGCAACTCCATGCTGGGCATGATGATACAATTATCAACACCGTAGTTATAAAAAACACTCTTAGGTACAATTCTAAGTGTGAAAACTAGCACAGACATACAGTAATAGACAGACCCACAAAACTCAGATAGTAGGCTTATTAGACAGAGATCATAGATTTCAGCAGGGAACCAGAAATTATTAAAATTAGTAATTTAGCCAATCAGCTAATTTACTAATTACTGAAAATTACATACTGAAAAAGAACCAGAATGTAGTAGAAAGAGATGGCAGAAAGGCCACCTAAAGCCCATCTTTTAGACATTGCTCTAAGCAGATGAGGGACAGAAGGGCACTTCCTGGCCAGGTGTGGTGGTTCATGCCTGTAGTCCCAGCTCCTCAGGAGGCTGGGGCAGGGAAGTCACTTGAACCCAGCAGGCAGAGTTTGCAGTGAGCTGATACTGTGCCACTGCACTCCAGCCTGGGCGACAGAGCAAGACTCCATCTCAAAAAACAAATAGCAGGGTGTGGTGGCTCACGCCTGTAATCCCAGCACTTTGGGAGGCCGAAGCGGGTGGATCGTTTGAGGTCAATTGACAACTTAGAGAGGAATATGAGTGAATTGATGAAGCTGAAAAACACAACATGAGAACTTCACGAAGCATGCACAAGTTTCAACAGCCAAATTGACCAAGCAGAAGAAAGGATATCAGAGGTCAAAAATCAAAACAATGAAATAAAACGAGAAGGCAAGATTGGAAAAAAAGCGCAAACAGAAATGAACAAAGTCTCCAAGAAATGGGAGACTATGTGAAGAGACCTAATCTACATTTGATAGGTGTACCTGAATGTGACAAAGAAAATGAATCCAAGCTGGAAAATACTCTTCAGGATATTATCCAGGAAAACGTCAACAACCTAGTAAGGCAGGCCAATATTCAAGTACAGGAAATACAGAGAACACCACAAAGATATTCCTCAAGAAGAGCAAGCCCAAGGCACATAATCGTCAGATTCACCAGGATTGAAATGAAGGAGAAAATGCTAAGGGCAGCCAGAGAGAAAGGTCGGGTCACCCACAAAGGGAAGCCCATCAGACTCATAGCAGATCTCTCGTCAGAAACCCTACAAGCCAGAAGAGAGTGGAGGTCGATATTCAACATCCTTAAAGAAAAGAACTTTCAACCCAGAATTTCATATCCAGCCAAACTAAACTTCATAAGTGAAGGAAAAATAAAATTCTTTGTGAATAAGCAACTACTCAGAGATTTTGTCACCACCAGGCCTGCTTTACAAGAGCTTCTGAAAAAGGCATTACACATAGAAAGGAACAACCAGTACCAACCACTCCAAAAACATACCAAATGGTAAAAAGCATCAACAAAATGAAGAATCTGCATCAACTAATGGGCAAAACGGCCAGCTAGCATCAAAATGGCAGTATAAAATTCAAATATAACAATATTAACACTAAATGTAAATGGGCTAAATGCACCAATCAAAAGACACAGACTGGCAAATTGGATAAAAAGCCAAAATCCATCAGTGTGCCGTATCCAGGAAACCCATCTCACATGCAAGGATACACAAAGACTCAAAATAAAGGGATGGAGGAAGATTTACCAAGCAAACAGAGAGCAAAAAGAAGAAAAAGTTGCAATTCTCGTCTCTAATAAAATAGACTTTAAAGCAACAAAGATCAAAAGAGACTAAGAAGGATATCACATAATGATAAAAGGATTGATACAACAAGAAGAGCTAATGATCCTAAATATATATGGACCCAATACAGGAGCACCCAGATACATAAGGCAAGTTCTTAATGACTTACAAAGAGACTTAGATTCCCACACAATAATAGAGGAAGACTTTAACACTCCACTTTCAATATTAGACAGATCAACCAGACAGAAAGTTAAGAAGGATATCCAGGACCTGAACTCAGACCTAAAACAAGCAAACCTGATAGACATTTACAGAATTCTCCACCCGAAATCTACAGAATATACATTCTTCTCAGCACCACACCACACCTACTCTAAAATTGACCACATAATTGAAAGTAAAGCACTCCTCAGCACTCCTCAACAACTGACATAATAACAAACAGTCTCTCAGACCATAGTGCAATCAAGTTAGAACTCAGAATTCAGAAACTAACTCAGAATCGCACAGCTTCATGGAAACTGAACAACTAGCTCTTGAATGTTGACTGGATAAACAATGAAATGAAGGCAGAAATAAAGAGGTTCTTTAAAACCAACGAAAACGAAGACACAACATACCAGAATCTCTGGAACATATTTAAAGCAGTCTGTAGAGGAAAATATATAGAAATAAGTGACCACATGAGAAAAGTGAAGAGTTCCAAAATTGACACCCTATCATCAAAATTGAAAGAGCTAGAGGCAAGATAAAAAAAAACTCAAAACCTAGAAGAAGACAAGAAATAACTGAGATCAGAGCAGAACTGAAAAAGATAGAGACACAAATAACCCTTCAAAAAATTAATAAATCCAGAGAGTGTTTTTTCGAAAAGATCAACAAAATGACAGACCACTAGCCATATTAATTTCAAAAGAGAGAATAACCAAATAGATGCAATAAAAAAGATAAAGGGGAAATCACCACAGATTCCACAGAAATTCAAACCATCATCACAGAATATTACAAACAACTCTATGCACATAAACTAGTAAACCTGGAAGTAATGAATAAATTCCTGAACACTTGCATCCTCCCAAGCCTAAACCAGGAAGAAATCAAAACCATGAATAGACCAATAACAAGATCTGAAGTTGAGGCAGCAATTAAGAGCCTACCACACAAGAAAAGCCTGGGTCCGAATAGGTTCACAGCCGAGTTCTACCAGACACACAAAGAGGAACTGTTACCATACCTCCTGAAACTATTCCAAATAATCCAAAAAGAAGGAAACCTTCCCAAATCATTTTATGAGACCAACATCATTCTGATACCAATACCTGGCAGAGTCTCAACAAGAAAAGAAAACTTCAGGCCAATATCCATGATGAACACAGATGCAAAAATCTTCAATAAAATACTGGCAAGCCAATTGCAACAGCACATCAAAGAGCTTATCCACCATGATCAAGTAGGTTTCATCCCGAGGATGCAAGGCTGGTTCAACATATGCAAGTCTATAAACATAATTTTCCACATAAACAGAACCAAAACAAAAACCACGTGATTATCTCGATGCAGAGAAGGCCCTTGACAAAATTCAACAGTCCTTTATGCTAAAAATCCTCAATAAACTCGGTATTGATGGAACGTATTTCAAAATAATAAAAGCTATTTACAACAAACCAACAGCCAATATGATACTGAATGTGCAAAAACTGGAAGCATTCCCTTTGAAATCTGACACTAGACAAGGATGCCCTCTCTTACCACTCCTATTCAATATAGTACTGGAAGTTCTAGCCAAAGCAATTAGGCAAGAAAAAGAAATAAAGGGTATTCAAATAGGAAAAGAGGAAGCCAAATTGTTTCTATTTACAGACGACATGATTGTATATCTAGAAGACCTCATCGTCTCAGCCCAAATCTCCTGAAACTGATAAGCACCTTCAGCAAAGTCTCAGGATATAAAATCAATGTGCAAAAATCACAAGCATTCCTATACACCAATAACACACTTAAAAAGAGCCAAATCAAGAATGAACTGCCATTCACAATTGCTACAAAAAGAATAAAATACCTAGGAATACAACTAACAAGGGATGTAAAGGACCTCTTCAAGGAGAACTACAAACCACTGCTCAATGAAATAAGAGAGGACACAAACAGATGCAGAAACATTCCATGTTCATGGTTAGGAAGAATAAATATCATGAAAATGGACATACTGTCCAAAGTAATTTACAGATTCAATGCTATCCCCATCAAGCTACCAATGACCTTCTTCACAGAACTGGAAAAAACTATCTTGAACTTTATATGGAACCAAAAGAGAGCCCACATAGCCAAGTCCATTCTAAGTAAAACAACACAGAGGGAGGCATCACACTACTGGACTTCAAACTATACTACAAGCCTATGGCAATCAAAACAGCATGGTACTGGTACCAAAACAGAGATATAGACCAATGGAACAGAACAGAGGCATCAGAGGCAACACAACATATCTACAACCACACAATCTTTGATAAACCCGACAAAAACAAGCAAGGGGGAAAGGATTCTCTGTTTAATAAATGGTGTTGGGAAAACTGGCTAGCCATGTGCAGAAAGCAGAAACTGGACCCCTTCCTGACACCTTACACTAAAATTAACTCCAGATGGATTAAAGACTTAAACATAAGACCTAACACCATAAAAACCCTAGAAAAAAATCTAGGCAAAACCATTCAGGACATCGGAGTAGGCAAGGACTTCATGACCAAAACACCAAAAGCATTGGCAACAAAAGCCAAAATAGATAAATGGGACCTAATCAAACTCCACAGCTTCTGCAAGGCAAAAGAAACAGTAATTAGAGTGAATCGGCAACCAACAGAATGGGAAAAAATGTTTGCGGTATACCCATCTGACAAAGGGCTGATATCCAGAATTTACAAAGAACTCAAACAGATTTACAAGAAATAAAAAAACAAGCTCATTCAAAAGTGGGCAAAGGATATGAACAGACACTTTACAAAAGAAGACATACATGAGGCCAACAAACATATGAAAAAATGCTCATCATCACTGGTCATTAGAGAAATGCAAATCAAAACTACATTGAGATACCATCTCTCACCAATTAGAATGGCAATCATTAAAAAATCTATTTTTAGATTTTTTAATCTAAAAATTTTAACAGATGCTGGGACGATGTGGTGAAATAGAAACACTTTTACACTGTTGGTGGGAGTGTAAATTAGTTCAACCATTGTGGAAGACAGTGTGGCAATCCCTCAAGGACCTAGAAATAGAAATTCCATTTGACCCAGCAATCCCATTACTGTGTATATATCCAAAGAATTATAAGTCATTCTACTATAAGGACACATGCACACGAATGTTCATTGCAGCACTGTTTACAATAGCAAAGACCTGGAATCAACCCAAATGCCCATCGATGATAGACTGGACTGGGAAAATGTGGCACATATAGATAATCGAATATTATACAGCAATCAAAAACAATGAGTTTGTGTCCTTTATAGGGACACGGGTGAACCTGGAGAACATCATTCTCAGCAAACTGACACAAGAACAGAAAATGAAATACCGCATATTCTCACTTATAGGCGGGTGTTGAACAATGAGAACACATGAACACAGGGAGGGGAGCACTACACACTGGGGTCTGTTGGGGGAGAATATGGGAGGGACAGCGGGGGGTGGGGAGTTGGAGAGAGATAGCATGGGGAGAAATGCCAGATACAGGTGAAGGGGAGGAAGGCAGCAAATCACACTGCCACATGTGTACCTATGCAACTATCTTGCATGTTCTTTACATGTACCCCAAAACCTAAAATGCAATAAAGATAAATTAATGAATAAATAGAGATGGGGTCTTATTATGCTGCCCAGGCTGGTCTCAAACTCCTTGGCTCAAGCAATCCTTCTGCCTCAGTCTCCCAAAGTGCTAGAATTACAGGCCTCAGCCACCAAGCCTGGTCTTAGACAATCTTTCTATGTACAAACAAGCAGTTAGAAAAAAGAAGAAAACATCCCATTTGCAACAGCACACCCCAAAAAAACAAAACTCTCAGAAATAAACATGCGAAAATATGCACACACAATCCATAACAAATTGTTCAATGAAACACTTTGAATGCAAAGAAAGCCATGCTGCACATGTTATTGAGAAAGGTTCAACATTAAAAAGATGTCACGGCAAGATGTGGTGGCTTACACCTGTAATCCCAGAACTTTGGAAGGCCAAGGTGGGTGGATCACAAGGTCAGGAGTTCAAGACCAGCCTGAGCATCATAGTGAAACCCTGTCTCTACTGAAAATACAAAAAAATTAGCCGGGCATGGTGACCTGCATCTGAAGTTCCAGCTACTCAAGAGCTGAGGCAGGAGAATTGTTTGATCCTGCAGGCAGAGATTGCAGTGAGCTGAGACTGCATGACTGTACTGCAGCCTGGGTGACACAGTGAGACTCCATCTCAAAAAACAAAAAGATGTCACTATCAATATCAAGTGGGGGTGTGTGGAAACGGAGACTTCACACATGCTGGGGGATCATAAGAGAGCATGGCCACTCCAAAAGACAGTTTGGCAGCTTCTTAAAAGGTAAATATAAATTTACCTTATGGAGTTGGATGTAGTGGCTCAGGCCTGTAAGCCCAGCATTTTTGGAGGCCAAGGCAGGTGTATCACCTGAAGTCAGGAGTTCGGGACCAAACTTGGCTAACATGGTGAAACCCCGTCTCTTCTAAAAATACAAAAACGTAGCCCAATGTGTGTCAGGCACCTTTAATCCCAGCTACATGGGAGGCTGAGGCAGGAGAATCGCTTGAATCTGGAAGGCAGAGATTGCAGTGAGCTGAGATCACGTCACTGCACTGCAACCTCAATGACAGAGCCCAGCTATGTCTCAAAAGAACAAAAAACAGTTAGGTGCAGTGGCACATGCCTGTAATCCCAGCTACTCAGGTGGCTGAGGCAGATGAACCACTTGAACTTGGGAGGTGTAGGTTGCAGTGATTCAAGATTATGCCGCTGGACTCCAGCTTGGGCAACTCAGTGAGACTGTCTCCAAACAAACAAATAAAAATAAAGTGTCAACATCAGTGGCTCTTTGTATACCCACAGAATCGTGCATCCATCACCACCATCGATGTTAGAACATTTTCATTTCCCCAACAAGGAACCCTGTTATCTTTCATCATCACCCCTTCCAATTCTTCCTTCCACCCCCAGCACTAGGTAACCAGTAATCTGCTCCCTGTCTCTCTGGATTTTCCTATCTGGGCATTTCATATAATGGGATGATACAGTATGTGGTCCTTGGTGACTGGCTGCTTGGACTTGGCATAAAGTGTCAGGCTCACCCACATGTGGCCCATGTCTGTGCTTCATTCCTTTTCACTGCCTTATTGCCCAAGTGGTGTCATAAGTGCTGCAGGTGGACTGTGAAAAGTCAGGGTGTGTGTTGTAATCCCTAGAACAATTGCTAAAGAAAGCATCTATAGCTAAAAACAGAGCGAAAAGACAGCCAAAAAGCCATTAAAGATGAAAGGATATGTGAAGAATCACTCCATTTATCCAAAAGAAGGCAGGAAAGGAGGAACAAAAATCAAAAGAGAAATAGGCAAGGCATGCTGGTTCACTACTAAAAATACCAAAAAAAAAAAAAAAAAAAAAAAAAAATAGCGAGGCACAGTGGCACACACCTGTAATCCCAGCTACTCGAAAGGCTGAGTCAGGAGAATCACTTGAATCTGCGAGGTGGAGACTGCAGTGAGCTGAGATCATGTCACTGCGCATGCCAGCCTGGGTGACAAAGCAAGACTGTCTCAAAAAAAAAACCACCACCACACAAATGGCATAGGTTAGAAATTCCATTCAACTGTAAGTGAACTAAACACTCCAAATGAAACTGAGATAGTGAGACTGAATTTTAAGAAACACAAACAAAACATGACCCACCTATCTAATGTGTAGAAGAGGCACCCTTTAATTACAAAAACACAGCTAAGATGAAAACAACAGGATGAAAAAATATATCTATGGAAACATTAGTTATAAGAAAGCTCATTAACATTAGATAAATAGATAAATAATATGCAGGCTTCCTACTTCTTTGATGAAACAACTAATAACTGAGAATATGATGTTGGTGCAGTGGCTCAGACCTGCAATCCCAGCACTTTGGGAGGTTAACGTGGGTAGGTCAACTGAGGTCAGGAGTTCGAGACCAGCCTGGCCAACATGGTGAAACCTTGTCTCTACTAAAAATACAAAAATTAGTCAGGCACAATGCAGGTTGCCTTTAACCCCAGCTACTCGAGAGGCTGATGTGAAAGAATGGCTTGAATTTGGGAGGCGCAGGTTGCAGTGAACCGAGATTGCACCATATACTTCAGCCTGGGTGATAGAGCAAGACGTCCTCTCAAAAAATAAACAAATACTGGAGAATGGTACCCTTTAAATTGCTGCATTTTGTGGTATGTGAATTACATATCAATTTCTTAAACAACTAGTAGGAAAAGGAAGGCACTGAAAATTATGTTTTGTTTTGTAATTAAACAAGAGATTTCTTCCTCTCTCTCAATAAACAAAGTCCTCTTTCAGTTTCTGCAAACTTCCTCCTTCCCTCCGCTATCCATTCATCCAGAGGAATTGTTGTCTGTTCTCACTCAGATTAGACAACTTTGTCTTTTAATTTGAGGCCTGGTAGGTAAAGTAGAGGTCCCAAGCCAAGAGAGAGAAGCGTCCCAGAGCCCTGTTCCATCGGAGCCTCCCATACCCCATGACTCACTTTACCCTGTAACACTCTTCCCTTCGGGTTTACCATCTGGAAAAAAGAATAAACTTACTTTTCTTATTCACCAATAATTTATATAAACCAAAAATTGCAAACAAGCGTGTTCTTAGCAACCTGATCTCATTCTCTTTAAATACCAATTGCTCTCCAGTAAACGGATTGTCTTTCCAGACAACATCAATTCACTTGGAAATCTCACTTAAAACAGAAAAGTTAAGGTCTTCAAAGGTTTGTTGTGGGCAAACCATTTGCAGGAATGCATGGGGCTGAATGTCAAAGGCAAAGAAAACAAGGCATAAATTACTTTGCCCTCATTTTGTTTGTCCTTGTACGCCCATGGTTAGTGATTAGTGCAGTGACAAAAATCTGCTTTCAAAAGTTTTTTTTTTTGGAGACAGAGTCTTGTTCTATAGCCCAGGCAGAAATGCAGTGGCACAATCTCAGCTCACTGCGATCTCCATCTCCTGGGTTCAAGAGATTCTCCTGCTTCAGCCTCCTGAGTAGCTGGGATTACAGACACCCATCACCACACCTGGCTAATTTGTGTGTTTTTAGTACAGGTGGGGTTTCACCATGTTGTCCAAACTAGTCTCAGACTCTCACAGGAGAAACACCATGTGGTCTGCCCACCTCAACCTCCCAAAGTGCTGAGATTACAGGCGTGAGCCACCTCTCCTTGCCAGGTTAATTTTCTCTAATGGAAGTAACAAAATAGGTATAATCAAAAAGTCACAGATATATCAAAAATTTTTAAATAGTGTTGGAGGCCAGGGGCAGTGGCTCATGAGTATAATCCCAACACCTTGGGAAGCCAAGGCAGAAAGATCACTTGAGACCAAGAGTTCGAGACCATCCTGGGCAACACAGTGAGACCTCTTATCTATAAAACATTTTTTAATGATACTGGAAAATGCTAACTTGGGTAGTGACAGTTTCAATGCATCATTGCCTGGTTTTCTGGGTTTTGCTCTGAACCTCGTGACAGATAATTAAGTCATGTGTCCAAGCTCAAGGACTTCCTGTTGCACACAGATGATGCTCCCTGGAGGACCCTGCTCCAATCCCCCTCCCTTCAACTTGTCCCAGTGTATCATATTCAACCTAGACCTGGGCAAGTCCCGCTCATGTCATTAGCCCTGCCCAGGCCAATAGCCTAGAAAAGATCCCCATCAACCCCCGCAAAGGGCAGAGTGACTCAGTTCACGCACATGGTGCAGGCCAGCTGCATGCCTTGCACTCTTTCCAGACCTGGGCCAGTGTACAAACTACACAGCCAGGGTCCTGTGCTCAGAAGGGTCCCTAATGTTTGCTTGAAGGCTCTGCTGCTTGAATCTTTATTTTTCTGAGACATAGTCTCTCACTGTCACCCAGGCTGGAGTGCAATAACATGATCTTGCCTCACTGCAACCTGCACCTCCCGGGTTCAAGTGATTCTCCTACCTCAGCCTCCTGAGTAGCTGAGATTACAGGTAGCCACTACAATGCCCAGCTAAGTTTTTTTATTTTTAGTAGAGACAGGGTTTTACCATGTTGGCCAGGCTGATCTCGAACTCCTGACCTCATGTTTTGCCTGCCTCGGCCTCCCAAAGTGCTGGGATTACAGGTGTGAGCCACTGTGCCCAATCCACTTGAATCTTAATTTCTGAAAATTATTGATTTTTATTTTGTGCGAATCCATGCAAATTAAGTAGCAGTTCCTACTTCAGAGCCATTTAATAAAGATTCTTGGGTGGCTGGAGTAGGCTGGGATTTAAAGTAAGGGGCTGGCCAGGCACAGAGCCCCTCCAACAGGGAGACCTTTCCCTTGCTGTAAAATAACCCTCTCAGAGCCATTTCTGAAATAGCTGAAA